TGCAAGCTTCTCTACTGACTTTGCTTGTGGGAAGTCGTCAAGGAACACCTGGGGATCACATAACTGAGGGGAGGCTGCGATGGCTGGACCTCTGGGGCCCAGTCATAAGTCCCCCTTGTTCAGTGCTGTTGTAACTTTGAACGGTCACTCAACAAATGGATGTAATCCAAGGACTACCTGTACCAGGCACAATGCATGGCTTAAAAGGACCCACATGGATTTATCAAGAATAAATCACACCACACCAAGCCTTATTTCTTTTTTTGATAGAGTGCTTCGTATTCAGCAAAGCATTTAACAGAGTCTCCCATGAGATCCTAGCAGAGGAGATATTGAAATGTTGGCTAGACTATGCTATCATTAGATGGATACAGAGCTCGCTAAACAATTGTGCCCAACCAGTGCATATCAATGGCTCTACATCAAACTAGATGAAGAGCTGAGGGACAAATCGCCCAGCCTGACATTCTACAAATTCCTCAGCTGTCTTGCTCCTTGAACTTGAACTGCTAAAGAACCCAGCAATGCATTACTTATCTGTAAGCTACTTTTCGGCAGGGCAACCAGATCTACAGGTAGCCTTCAAAAATCTGGATGCCTGCAGTCTTTGTTGCCATCTAGTGATCTCCTGGAATTTTGTAGCCCAAAGATTATAGCAAATTTTCTTCTTCAAATCCCCTGTTCTGCTTGCCCAGCTTTGCTATTCTCCAGACAGCCCCCAGATGGTAGCAGAGACACAGACAACTCTCACTCCTTCCTGCCTCCTAGTGGCTGTCCAGAGTTTGTGGCGCAGATGAAAAGTTTGATGTACAGTAATTGTCAACTTTTAAGGTTTGCATCCAGAAGGGTGAGAATTAACTAATACACTAAATAAATACATAAATATTCCCGTAAATTACCACAACAACCTGTACTGATCAATGAAAGTGCCAAGCCCAACTGAAATAAACATATCACTGGCAACACATATAAATGAGGCAAAAACAGAAATATTTTGTAGCAGCAGCAGCTAACAAATTCCAGTGAAGGCCTGGCACTGTTCAATCAATCAATCAATCAATCAATCAATCAATCAATCAACCAACCAACATTATTGATTTAGTCTATTGACCATACCAAGTATAAAGGAAATAAAATAAAAAGCCATTGTAAACATACAGATAAGAATAAGAAACTGTGATACAAGTTCATATCAATCCGTCACCCCTACAG